CCCTAGAAACAGAATAAAAACAGGCCTGGCAGAAAATTGCCATTTCATTCTGAGCATGACTGTAAAGACAACCAACATGAAAATAGCCATCGTATACTCAATTTACACGTTTGGCCTCAAAACTACATTTGTAGAAACACGCTTGCCGCGGTGCTTTGGGAAGAGCTGTGCCTGGCTGGGGAGGGCAGCAGGGCCAGCAGCCCGCGGCTCTGCAGATCCGTCGGGAAAAGCTGGTGTTCACCAGTGCATCCCTGACTTTGAGATCTGGGGCGGAGAAGGAGCACCGCCGTGCAAACCCCGCAGCCGCCCACGGGGCTGGGGGAGGCAGCCCGCCGGCCCAGACCCGCTCGCGAAGAGGGGCTCAGCACCGACCTGAGCCCAGGCTCCCGGCCGGAGCCCGGCACTCGGTTCAGCCCACAGCCCGCCTCTACTGCGACAGAGCAGTGCAAGAGCATTTCAATTGCGGTTCAGTCTTTTAAAAGCTATGAAGTAGACACCATTGTTTTCCTTATTCTTTAAGTCACATTCATTGTCTGGCTGCATAAGTGGTATCGCCAGGAACATATTCTACTATCATTATATCAAAAAAACCAAAATATTTGCCGGAATAATGTGTCTCTCAAGGCACTAATCAAAGCAGGTTTTTTTCAGATTTCAATCAGATTTGGGTGCTTCTGAAAACTATTGATTTGAAAACATCCAGGACTGGCTCCCAATAACTGTGTTATTAAACCTGTACATCAGCAAAGGCATTTCCTCCATCCTCCATCTTTTGTACGCTTTGTTAAGTCAGAAACCCAAATCAGCATAAAATGCTTGCCAAGGGAAGGGAGAGTTGTATTCAGATTTAATCTAGTGATTATGGTTCACCTGTTGCAAACAGCTCCTTCATCAAGGCCATCAGGTGAATTATTAACCTCTTCCATCCACAAACAGAAAAATACCTTCAGTCACGAGGAAGCAATGCCAAAAAAAAGGTTACAGGGGTTATTCGCGGGCACATCGGAAAGGCACACAGCAAGGCTCGCTCCGCAGGGGAAAATACTGCTTGGGGGGGGGGGAAGGCGGGGAGAAAAGCGCCCGGCACCCGCGGGGTGCACGAGGTGGCCGTCCTGGTGACATCCTGGTGACATCCTGGTGACATCCTGGTGTTCTGGCACCTCGCCGCTTCTCGGTGGCTCTGTCTCCCCCCGGCCACGTACGGTGCCGCCGTGCAACACCCGGTGAGACAAATGTTCCTGGGGAAGTGTTTGACCGGAGTGGCTGTTAGCTGAAAGACGACGTGATTGCAAATGAACTTCTGCTGCTCTCATCCTCCAGAACAGCAGAGAGGCTGCTGCTGCCTGCAAGCACGGAGCAGTAAGCGCTGCTCGCAGGCTACTCGCAGGCTACTCGCAGGCTACTCGTAGGGTTACTACGGCCAAACCTCACCGGTTAACTCCCTGCTACCGGCTCCACCAGAGCCCGGTGTGGGTCCGGTGCGTCTCCAGCCCCTGGGGCACACCCTGACATTGGTGTGACCGGTTGTTTCAGCAGACCACTGGTTTCAAGCAGCTGGGGAGCAAGCGCAGAACAGGTAACACAGCTTCTGAGCAATTAATTCAGCACATAAATAGAGTAGCAGTTAGCAAGTACATGCTGTTGTCCCTTCTCATCACCCCTGACACTGGTCTCCAGGCTCTGCAACAGGTAAGAGAGGCATTCCCGGGTGAAGGCTGTGGGAAGGGGACTCTCGGTTGTGCTGGGGGTAGGATTTTAATTTGGACTTTCTCCCAGGCAAAGGATTATTGGGGCCAATAAAGCCAAAAAGGGTGACAGAACAGCTCTGGCAGCAGCGGGAGGAAAGGGAGAGAGGGCAGATAAAGAAAGCCGAGCTGGCAAGGCTGGAAAATGAAGGGGTAAATGAGGACCAAGGCGAATTCATGGTATTCTAAAATGTATGTAAGGGAAAGGAGGCAGAAGCAAAAATTAGTTTAAATAGAAGTAGAGAGAAAACAATAAAATAAACTCAGAAGAGTGTCTGTCCTGCCCTGCCCTTAGCAGGGAGCCTGTCCCACCGACGGAAGCACCCAGCAGCAGCAGCAGGTAGCATTTCCCCACCGACCGCCGCCGAGCCCCTCTGAAACTCGGGTCCACCTGCATGGAGGGGGGTCCTGGGACGGCTCCTGGTCACACCACAGCAACTGTCCATCTCGGAATACAAATCATGCTCACACAAATTAGTACAAAACCAGCATCTTGCTTTACACGATCTCCTTAAATCATATTTTGTATTTCGCTATTACATCAGACTGCTGGGAGTTTTGAAAGTAAAAGCTCTTGAAGGCAGATGTATTTGAGTAAGCAACCACACAACTTCATCTTTGGCCTGTGTACTTTTTAAGAAGTAAAATAATTCCTCAAAGGTACAGGAAAAAAAAATGGGTATCAACACCACGCAAGGAAATTTTATGCAAGGAGCTCAGAAAGCCTGGAGGGAGGCACGGCTCCCCGCCGGCCGCAGACCAGCAGCATCCCTGGGCAAGGGAAGGTCGCACCGACGGAGGGGGAGCTGGACATCCCCGCGGCTCCTGCGCCGGCTCGGATCCCAGCTGCTGAATGGGTCATGCTGGGAACGCCTGAGACAGCAGTGACCACCCTCGCTTGCTTCTGCATTTCAAAACGAATCTGCTGACAGAGGCAAAAAACAAAGCAGAGGGCTGCCACGAGCCGAGGGACGCTGCTGCACCTCAGCTGCACCCACCATCGCCTCGCTTCCGACACCATCCATTTTGTCCCAAAAAACAGGCACTAGCAGTGGGGCTGTATCAGGCTCTGGGAAGTATTCCATAGCTTGGGGGAGGGAAAAAAAAAAAAAGCAAAGAAGAAAAAAAAGCCAGAATAAAAGCATGCTATAAAGCAGGTTCCCTATTCTGTTACACCACCGATTCAAAATCATTGAAATAAGAGTCCCCAGTAGGTCGAGCTTTACACATTTTAACTAGGCACATTAAAGCAGAGCGCGGTTGTTTCCAAACTGTGTTTACTGCTTTCAAATCGAGTTTAGAGCAAGGTCTGAGAGTCTCTCGGAAGAGAGGACTTTCTCCTGCTTTGCTAACAATTCCCATCTGCCTCACGGGTGTGATCCCAGCTGAAGGCAAATGGAAAAAGAGGAACCGTCCTCACCTTTAACACAATCAATACAACTGCCAAAACCCAGCGTGTATTTAATAAATGCAATGTAGATTGTTTGATTTGACCTTCTGTTCACAAAATAATTTTATTATATGTATGAAAGCAGCATACAGGCAATAAAATTATGAAAACATTCACAATACATAAATACACAGACCTGATGCAGGATGTATATAGTTCATTAGGCTTTAAATTTTTTTTCCTCTCAGTTCTCTTTTCCTGACAACACATTGTTTTGATATATGTTACGAAAAAGTTGCTCCAAAGGGTATTTTCTCCCATTCAGAAAACAAATAGCTTTCTTTGAACGCTGCTGAATATTAACCCCCAGTGATCCTGTTGCTAACTCCACTGATTGCTTTTGGCATGACAAAGGGAAAGCGGCAGGGCAGGACAACGGAAAAGTAGCAGTTGTTTGAATTAAACATCGGCGACTTTTTTGGAGCTGACGGGACGGTTTTGAGGCGGGGGCTGCAGTTCCATCCGTATTTAGAAATGTCTTAATCCAAAATGGGGATGAGGCACTATTCCTTATTGAACGGACTATTGACGTGGTAATTACTAAAATGTAATGTCCTCCTGGTTGCCAAAGTAAAGCACCAGGTACCTCACTTTGTAATCCTGACCGTGATACAGCAGCAGACAGACAGCATGATCCTGGTGGCACTGCAAGAACACAGATGATAACGAGGTTTGGCATGTTTACTACCATTATAACCAGTTGTGTTTGTTCAGAAAAGATATCCAAGACTTGAAATAAGAAAAGTCTGAGAAAGCTGTTTATCGTACATAAATACAAAACATTATATACTAAGAATTGTTATCTAAGAAGCTTTTCTTCTCAAATCGGGTTCTTCTTAAGGTTGTAGTCATATTTAAGGTATTTACAGATCCACAAACTCGACATTCTAGCAAAGTCTTTGTAACATGAAACTTTTTTTAAAAATAAATAGCAGCAATTTCTGTTATTTCTATAAGGGAAGAGAATTCACAACTCAGTCAACGCTGGTCCTATCTTTTGAAAGAAATCCCACTTCAAACAAAAAAAAAAAAAAGCCCACCGGCAGACGACCTCCACACAGGATCGGGTCTGTCGATTCCTTCATTTCTTGCTGAGCTGCTTAACGTTCCTTCGCTCCCCTCACCGGCTCTCCAGACTATCAGGGCTTGTAATAAAGTGCTGACTGGTTGACTGGTCAAAATGCAGTTATGACACTCCAAAAATATCCCATGATTTAGACATCTTAAATAACATAAATAAAGCTAGATCTGTTATAACATATGAAAAATATCAATTTAAAACAATAAATAAATAAAACCAGTATCAACATATTACCTCCCAAAGCTTTAAAAATAACCATTCTCGTTATAAGGCTCAATTATTTGTCAGAAATAATTTTAAGAAGGCATCTACCTACCTTGACAACCCCTCAGTCTTTGATTAGGACCTGTTAACACCCACTATCACGAGACACAGCAATCTTTTAACTTCTAGGAAACATTAATCTTTAAATACTTAACATTTATCTTTTGCCTCATTTTAAGCTGGAGATTGGTTTCTCTGTGTGGAGAAGCAGCAGTATTTTCTTTCTCACTGCACTGTATCTAAATTTGTACATTTTCCTCAGTATGAACAGCACAGTTTAATATCCTTTTTTTAGCCAATTTTCAGCATTGCTTTCTGTCTATTGTTTTAAATGTTAAATTTGCTTTGAATGCCAGGTAAATTAATTCTGGGCTTGGTGTAAATGTGTGTTTCTCCCTAGAGCTCAGTTTCTTACTAAAAAATCTTCTATATCTTTTTTCTTTAAAAGATTATTACAATAGACACTATTAGGTCTTGCTGGGTAAACCTTCCTGTTCAGGTTTTATGCTGCCCATTTTGTGTAATGGGATTGATCTTTTCCAAAGAAACGTCAGCTTCATAATCCAAGATACCCGACAGTGCTGGAGACATCTTCTCCAAGGTCTTAGATAGTTCACCCTCTTCTTCCTTTTTGAGAGGTTCTTCTTCCGGACAGATAATTGCATGTGGAATCAGATAAACCAGATTAGACTCTTTGGGGCTGGACCCTTTGGGCTCATGTTGGCTCGAAAAAACAACTGCTCCGTTATTGTTGATACTAACAGTCTCTATAGCGTTGCTGGACATAGGGCAGAGCCTGTAGCATCCTAGCAGGGTGGAAAACGCCTTGCGGAAATCAGCATTGAAGGCATAAATGATGGGGTTGAGGGAAGAATTAGCCCATCCAAACCAAACAAAAACATCAAAGGTGGTGGAATTAATGCAGAAAGCTTCTGCTCCCTTGGACGGTTGGGTAGGCTCGCAGAAGGGAATCATGCAGTTCAACACGAAAAACGGCAACCAGCAGCACACAAACACCCCCATGATCACCGACAAAGTCTTTAAAACCTTCGTTTCCCTCTTGAAGGACATTTTGAAGTTGCTCTCCGGTTGCTGGCAGTCCATGCTGCTTCTGTTGCCGCTCGTGTTCTGGCAGTTCTTGGCATGCACTGCCGCTCTCTCCAAAGCTGAGATGCGTCGTATTTGCTTCTGAGCAATCCGGTATATCCTCGTGTAAGTTACGATCATGATGGCCACAGGTATATAGAAGCTAATTAGAGAAGAGGAGATGGCATACATCCTGTTTAGGCTAGAATCACAGTTGTCCATGCTTATACCTTGTAAACTGGCATTTAGGTCCAAAAAGCTTGTGGTTGTAGCCTTGTGCCAGTTCAGCTGCACAGGGATGAAGGAAATCAGCACAGACAAAGTCCACGCCACGCTGATCATGATGAAGGCTGCCTTGGGCGTCATCTTCCTCTCGTACCTAAATGGGCTGGAGATGGCCCAGTATCTGTCCACGCTAATGACACAGAGATTTAAGATGGAGGCTGTTGAGCACATAATATCAAAGGCCACCCAGATGTTGCAAAATGAACCAAAAGGCCAGAAACCGGCGATCTCAGCCACAGCTTTCCACGGCATGACCAAAACTGCCACTAAGAGATCTGACACGGCCAAGGAGATGACAAAGAAGTTGGTCACCTTGGACCTGAGGTGGCGAAACCTAATGACGGCTGCACAGACCAGCGTGTTTCCCAGCAGCGTGGAGAGGATCAGCAGCGAGAGGAAGCAGCCCGTGAGGATCCGAAAGGAAGAGTCCCTTTCCACCAGCAACCCTTCCCCGTCCATAGTGGTGTCGTTCCAAGTCATAGTTTCTCCTGAGGGAAAATCATATCATGATTTTCATGACGACATCAGCTCCTCGCCTTGCAGAGATCAGAGACATCAGACGTCCATTAATTACTCATCACCAAAGAGACCAAAGGTCCTTTCTTACGGTCCCTTCGCCCCCGGACAGACTTCACCCACTTTGCATCTCCCTGAACACTGAAAGCTCTACCAGCAGGAACTGAAAATGCACCAGTACAGTCCACCCTACAGACTGGTTTTTTAAGCAATCCCTTCAGAAGCACACTGCACCACCCCAGCACGCAGCAGCCTAATTCAGACAGCTCACCTGCAAATGTCCTGCTGCCGTCCTCTGCAAATACCCCCCACAGGCAGGAAAGCAATCACTTTTCCATGCTTGCCTGTATTCCCACTTAAATAGGCTATTGATCGAGTGTTTCCAGCGTCCATCGCACTAGCCCTTCACATTTACCGAGGTGCTTTTTCTCTAGTTTGGTTTCCTAAACGTCTTGCTGATGAAACACTCCATCCTTCCTCCTCGGTACACTCCTGTTACAACATGCATCGGTCCTCTGTTTCTGGGCAGCGTCAGAGAGCAATTCTTCACTTTGTTTCAAACTGTTTAAGTTTTACACTTCCGAGACAAAGAAAATAAACATACAGTAGGTGTGTTTTAAAGGTTTTCAGTAAGAAGTAGCTCAGGTTATTTAGTTTTATTTAAACGAGAAATGCTGGCTCCTACCTTTCACCTCTGCTTCTCTGTTTGCTCTGGGATGCAGGGCCGTCTCTCCTCCTCTTTTAGTTTTGGAATTGCATAGCAAATCTTATATACAAAACCAACACAGAAACACTGCATTGCATCGGGGGGGAGGGAGCGTGGTTTTTTCCCTGAAAGTGCAAATTGGCAGGGGAGAAGTAAAAACAGGAGCCGGCAGAGTTTGACCATCAGGATTAGTTTTCAAGGGAGCAGCAGGTCTGTGCTGCCGGACCGTGCGTGACGGACCCCGCCGGCGTGTGCCCAGCTACCTCCATCCCACGGTCCCTGCTGATCACTCTGCAAACTTTGTTGGCCGGATCGGTCCCAGTCGCACTTTGTACATCCCGTCGAAGCGGCACATCAGGGCAAATCATCCCAGGCAAAAGGCACGGTATTCCCAACACTGGCAAGAGCCAAGGAGCAGTTCTTTCTTCCTTCACTGGAAGGAGAAAGAAGGGCGAGAGGAGGCGAAGGACCTGAGCGACCTCCCCTCGGCCGCGACGCGGGCTTCCCGCAGCGGGTTCCTCTTCCAGAGGGGACAAGTCGCTTTAACGCTCCGCTGCCAGGTTATAGCTTTCCATCACCACCCTGGAATAATCCCACCTCCTGCTCAGCGGGGCTGTGCTCCAGGGATGGGGTCCAGCTTTTACCATGCTTTTTTCCCCCTTCTCAGAAAAGCGCAGGCGAAGGCAGCTCCTCACGCTCTCCCGCAGCCTGCCCCGGGCCGCGCAGCCCCGGTACCGGCCGGTCCCGGTGGCAAAGGCTTCCTTCTGCCCGGGGCAGGGCTCGGCAGCATCGCCCCTCCAGGAAAGGTCTCTCTGCTCGGCGTCTCCTTCCTAAAGGATGAAAACAAGGGAAAGACAGGCGTGGAGGCACGCAGCGGGCAAAAAGCAACCCCCCTTCGCCTCCTCTAACATCTTCGGTCGGGCGTAGCCGCTTCTGGGCAGGCTCTCCCCGGTTTTCCTGCCTTCCTGGGGGATAAGGGAGGCAAAGCCGGGCTCCCGGAGCGGCTGGCCCGGAGTTCAGCGCCCAGGGGATTACTTTGCCCCGTCCCGAGCTCCGGGACGCCCGGGGCGCTGCCAACCAGCCGAGTTCAATGAATTGATGCGGAATGTAAGTACCGGCACCTCACCTCGGGCTGGGCGATGCTCGGGAGGCGGGCTGCGGGCCCGGGCACCCCGCGGGAGCAGCCTCACCCCGGGGCGGGCTGGGGAGGGGGGGCCGGCCGGGACCCCCTCCCCGCGCAGCGGGGGAGGGGCGGGGGG